GAGTGCAGTGGCACGATCTCAGCTCACTGCAATCTCCGCCTCTCAGGTTTAAGCAATTCTCTGCCTCAGGCTGCCGAGTAGCTGGGATTACAGGCCCCTGCCAACAGGCACAGGTAATTATTTTTAATTTTATTTTTGGTAGAAACGGGGTTTCGCCATCTTGGCCAGACTGGTTTTGAACTCCAGACCTCAGGTGATCCACCCTTTTCGGCCTCTCCAAGTGGTAGGATTACAGGCGTGAGCCACCGCACTTGGCAGGACAGGTAAACTTTTTGCACTGAGAAAATTATGTGTCAATCTAGCTAGAAACTTCTTAACATTTGGGATATTTATGTTAAGAGACATTGGTCCCAATGTTAATTAGCATTTGGGATATTTATGTTAAGAGACAAAATACTATATTTTGCTAAACTATATTGGTAATACATATTTTACATATTTATAAAACGACAAATCAATATAATTATATAGTAATAGGTATTTAAATATTGGTATTAAATGTAATATAAATGTATAAATATGATATTAAATATGTTTAAATATTTAAACATTTCTATGAAATTCCTGTATTATTTGGCATTCAGTTGTGCTCACCCGTCCATTGATTTCTTTCTTTCTTTTTTTTTTTTTTTTCTGAAACCAAGTCTTGCTGTATATCCCGCGCTGGAGTACAATGCTGAGATCTCGGCTCACTGCTACCTCCATCTCCTGGGTTCAGGTGAGTCTACTGCCTCAGCCTCCCGAGTAGCTGGGACTGCAGGTGCCCACCACCACGCCTGGCTAATTTTTGTATTTTTAGTTTCACCATGATGCCCAGGCTGGTGTCGAACTCCTGACCTCAGGTGGTCTGCCGCTGGGATTACAGGCCTGAGACACTGTGCCCTGCCAAAAAGTGGAAAGCTTTTTTAGCACCAAATATTTCTCTAGAATAGCTGCTTATTTTGTAGAAAAATGTTATTAATAGTAGCTCAATAAGAAAAAGAAAGCCTAATGAATGCATTTATCCTCTAAATTAATTAATATGTTTTCCATGCAAATTATGGGGCAGTTAAGCAATATATCCCTCAAGTTGAATAAAATCTGATTTGTTTGAAGGGCAGGTTTTATGAAAACTTCAAGTAACATGTTTCTCCCATGTTCTACAATCTCTTTCATATGTACGACTGCATTTTAAAGAAAAGAGTAAGTTTCTCATTGTATATTCTCACTGATATGTGGGAGCTAAGCTCTGAAAAAGCATAAGAAAGATACAGTGGACTTAGGGGCCTTCCAGGGAAGAGTGGGACGGGGGTGAGGGATAAAAGACTACAAATAGGGTGCAGTGTACACTGCTCGGGTGATGGGTGCATCAAAATCTCACAGATCACCACGAAAAAAACTTACTCATGGAACCAAATACCACCTGCACTCCAATAACTCATGAAAAAATAAAAAATAAGTTTCATCTCTAATTTTGTCAGACTTGTATAACATGGATTTTTTTAAACGCAAGAAAAAGTAAAATATAGAAAAAAACGTGGTCTCCAACTTCCATTAAGCATACTGGCAGTACTAAAAATAAAACATCAGCACTTTTCATGTAGTGATGGTAAATTACACAAAATTTCTGAATAAAATTTAATCCAGCAATGATCAGTATTACATATTCAAATATATTCAGATATAAAGAGAAAAATAATATGATCATAAGAATGTGTATGGGAGAAAAATTAATCACCATCGTCATGTCAAATAGGGACAAATGCTTTTTGTCTAAGAAACTTCCAGCAAACATCATATGATATAATCCTTTGCCGCAGGAGAGAATCAGGAATGATGAGTTCCTACATGGAGAACAAAATGTGAATTTCTATCCTGTGTTCAGGTGCCTTCCCAGAAATGCCTCCAGATTTTCGTACAGCAGCGGGGATATGGGATGGAGTGACCCCCTCAAAAAGCCCACATAAAGCAGTTCCCATTTCCCTACACAAACTGTGGCTCCCAGTGAAAACCACCTTAGATTTTCCTGCAAATCTCCTTCTTTTCTGGCCTTCTACAAGATGTCTGGGATCTAGAGAAGGTAGTACTGGGTTACCTGGTGCATGTTTGTTGGGATGTAACATTTTATGGCTATTTGCAAAATCTGTTATCAGTGGTCTTTGCAGAGAATGTGCAGTCACCATGGTGCAATAATCCTGTATCTGAGCACCACACAGGTAACCAGATGTGCTTAATCAGTGTGATCCACATGCTGTGATGTGTGCTCTAGCAGGGCACAGACAAACACAGTCAGCTCTGTGACTGTGCAAACAGGGAGTGTTGTAATGACATGGTTTATTCACGATTGCCATGGAATCTGATGTGGCATTTTTAAAACATGCATATATCTATTTCAAGTGGTGTAAAAACATCACTGATGGGTGGAAGCTATTGAATTAGCCAGAAATCTAACTCTGTAAATATATACTTAAATATTGAATAATGAACAGGGTATCTGAATGGTGTGTATATACGTACATATTTTGTATGTGATTTCAGATGCAATTTTAGATATTTATGAAATTGTATATGAAGAATACCCTTCAAACTGATGAAAATTATGATGTCTGGATATAAATGGCTGTTTTATGTCAGTGTTTAAAAATTTTATGGTTCATTTGTTCACATCTGTATTAATTTTCTGTTTACGAATGACCACAGTTTAGTCAACAATTTACCACAGCACTGATTTATTTTCTCACACTTCATAGATGAGAAATGTGTCAGGTTTTTCTGGGCACTCTGTTTGGTCTCCCCAGGCCAAAATCAAGGTCAGAGCCATGGGCTATATTCTTGAGGCTCTGGGGGCGGAATTTCCCTCTAATCTCGTTCAGACTGTTGTCAGAATTCATTTCTTTCTCATAGTCCCCATACATTCAAAGTTACAAGTGAAACCACTCTCGTGCTCCTGAGTTCTAACTTCCTCTGTTATTGCATCTCTCTGACCGTTTATTTCCGCCTCAAGGACACATAGGACTCACTCAGATAATGACCGATAACTTTCTTTTATTTTCCTTTTTTTTTTTTTCTTTTTGAGACTGAGTCTTTCTGCTCTGTGGACCATGCGGGGGCTGCAGTGAGCCGGGATCGCGACACTGGACTCCAGCCTGGTCGATAGAGAGAGACTCAGTCTCAAAAAAAAAAAAAAAAAAAAATTCAAAAAGGAGCGCAGCGCAGCTGTGCCCTCACTGCTGGAGCGGCGCGCGAGCGTGGTGCCTGGCCGGGGGACCCGCGCCTCTCGCTGCCCCGCGCGCTCCCAGCCGCCCAACGTGAGCGCCCAACACCGAGCGGTCCCGGACAATAGGCAGCGGACCCCTGCCCCGCGCGTGTAGCGGCAGCGGGCTCCGCGCGCCCCGAGCGCTGGCACCCCGCGGTCCCCGGCAGCCCCCGGCGCCATGCACCGCTGGCAGAAGAACACCAAGTTCACCAAGATCTTCGTGGGCAGCCTGCGGTACCGCACCACCGATGCCTCGCTCAGGAAGTACTTCGAGGACTTCGGCGACATCGAGGAGGCCGTGGTCATCACCGACCCCGAGACCGGCAGGTCCCGCCGCTACGGCTTCGTGACCATGGCCAGCCGGGCGGCAGCCCAGAGGGCTTGTGAAGACCCTCACCCCGTCATCGACGGCCGCAAGACCAACGTGAACCTGGCTTACCTGGGCGCCAAGCGGCGGAGCCTCCCGACCGGCTTTGCAACTAGGGTGCGGAAGCTGCGCCCAGCTTCGATCCAGCGGACTTACCCGCCGACCCCGGACCACATCCACCCGCCAGCGACCGTGCAGCCCAGCGCAGTGATCCTGGCCGCCCCGGTCCCATCGCTATCCCCGCCCTACAGGCAGTACACGCCGGCCAGCCGGGCCTACGCCCAGTACCCAGCGGCCACCTACGACGAGCACCCACCGGGCACCTACGACCAGTACCCACGGGGCACCTACAACCAGCACCCACTGGCCACCTACGCTCAGTCCCCATACGCCGTCCAGCCTGCTACGGCTGCCGGCTTCGCAGGCTACAGATACCCGGCCGCCATGCCCCAGGTCCGCTCAGCCGCAGCGCCCCGAGGCACCAATTTCATGCAGTACCCCGCGCCACAGCTGCAGCTCGACAGGATGCAGTGAGGGGCGTTCCTGCCCCAGGA